ATATCCTTTATTTTATAGTATAGAGAGATATTTTTATTAATTTAAGTATTATATTATATAATTATTATTTGTTGATAAAATGCAAATATATCAGCAGTAAATATAATAATTATATTATTGTATAAAAAGTAAATATAGAAATAATAATAGATATAAAAGATGAAATCTCATCATCTAATTTATAATATGTAAATATTTTTCTCAGATTGTAGCTAGAGCTAGTTTTCTTTATTATTTTCTTCATTAATATATATTTAATTTCTTCTTCATCTGCTCAGCTAGACTATAATACTTGATTATATTTTTCTTTATATATTAGAGAAAATAAGTCTTGTAGTATTGATTAAAAATATGATAATATTTTTAATTTTAATTTAAAAATAGAAGATAATCTACTTATTTGATTGCAAATACTAATAGAGTAGAATTTCAACTCTTTCATTATATCATAATTTTTATTTATTAACAATTATTTAAAGAAATTCTTTATAAAAAATTATTATTCAACTTTCACTTCAATAAAACAAAGTAGTGATTTTCATAAATATGATAAAAAATTGATAATATATATCAAGAAATTTACTCTGTATATTTATTAATCAAATATTAAATTTTTATAATATCTAGTTGTCAATATACACTCTGATATTGACTTTACTAGTAGATTTTTTTACTACTTTAACTTTTACTTAATGTTAAAAAATTAAATAGTATTTAATATATTTTTTATTATTTCGCAGTATGTTAGTTATTGATATATTTTACTACAAGGACTTTGATATTAAATTTATAATATATATTTCTAATAATTAAGAAGATAGAGATTATAATTCTTATTCTATTACTAATTATATAATTTATATAACTAATGACTTTATCATCTGAAAAAGCTATAAGTAAATAAAATATCTCAAGATTTTCTATAAAAGTTAAGTATTAGTGTGAGATAAAATTCTATCAATATATGAGTTAATTGCTATTTATTAATTAGATTAATAAAATAGTTAAATTCTAGTTTAACTAAATAGATATAATAGTTACTAGATGAATATATCTTAAATAAAGAATATTAATAATAATAATAATAAATATATTTTATTTTTGAAAAACTATCTATAAGCTAGTTCATCTCTGAGAGTTTTTTACTCTTGCTGAATTTCTACTATCTCAGTTTAATGAACTAGATATTTTTAATAAGACTATCTTATCATCAGCTAATTCTATCATATTTATTATTTATATTAATAATAAATTTATGATATAGCGCTTCTCTAGTAAAGCTATATTATATTTTTTTAAATATATAAAGATTTGCATTTACTCTCTTCAATATATTACCTATAAGAATAAAATAGTTTTATAATATATATCATCTGCAAATAATATAATGATTAATTTTATTAAACTATTAAAAGTTATTAAATTTTCACAATAAAAAAAGATTATAAAGCTGAGAGAATTAATGAATTTCTTTTTTTTATTTTTATTTTAACTAAGTTTTTTACTATTATATTTCTTTAATTGATTTTGTACTTGTACTAGGTAGTAGATTTGTTTTTGTACATAGTATTAAATTCTTCTACTATGATGAATGATAGATGTTGAACACTTCTGTCATATGATATGCTTTTTATCATAGTTGTTCTTGTAGTGTATAAACTATATAATTAATTAAATTTACTATTCTATGAACTTATTCATATATATAAATATTTTAAATCTTTAAATTTCTTTAATAAATGTAATGACTAGCTTTTAATCATGTCACTGCACAACTCACATCTTATATAAATGCATCACATCAAAATGACAAAAATACTAAAATGATAAAAATTTTATAATTTCATCATTTTCATCATTTTCATCAATTAATAACTTACTGCAATGTCAAATAAAAATAAAAATATTGAAGACTGTATTCAAAAAGCTATCACTTATCATTAAAAAAATATAAATTTCAAAATACTGTCTTTGTTATAAAAATTTGAGATTTCTTATCAATGTCTCTAAGTGCATATCAATGAAAGAAATCTGAATACTACAATGATTTCAGTTAATAAAAGATTAAATAAGAGTTAGAAGAATGTAATTAAACAATAAATCAAACTGTTTAATGAAAAGAATTGTTCTCTCACAGTTGAATACATGAAAATTTTACAAATTCTATGCTCAGACATCAGCATATAGATTCTACTATCTCTTTTTCAAAAGTTAGCAAAATATAAACTTATAGATTCATTGAACATCTATCTAAGTATAAGAAAGTGAAACAAAAGTCAATGAATTTAAAAAGAATAATAGTTGAAGATATTGAATATATCAATACATGATTTAAGCATCTTCAGATTCTATTTGAGCAGTATCAATTTCACATCTGTGACATATACAACTTTGATGAGATTGATTTTTAAGAAGAATAAAAATGTAAAGAATAAGTTATAACTATTTTTAAAGAAATTAATTTCATTATTTTTTTATTCTTTTTAAGAGATTTGATTACAGTCATTGAATATGTATTTATGAATAATCATGTCATTTAATCAATGATAATTTTAATCTTTAAAATATATTTGAAAAATTGATATACACAGACTGATTTACTCAGCAATTATAGAATTACTCTATCAGATACTAAATTTACAAATAATGAGATTGAATTCAAATGATTTAAACATTTCAATACTGCTACAGAAAAGAGACAGAAAAGAAGTCATTAATTACTTTTAATAAATAATTATAAATCTCATATCACTGAGAAGTTTATACAATATATATATTTTCACAAAATAATTTAATATGAATTTTCATCACATGTTATTCATTTGCTATAATTTCTGAATAATCTATTATTTCAGTATTATAAGCATTATTATTTAAAAGTAGTCAACTATGCTGTGTATCATGATTTTGTTAAATATAAAAAATAGCAATTTCTATAAGGTCTTTCAGCTATACAAAAGCAGATCTTTAAATCTGATACAATAGCTGCAGAATAAGCTCAATGTAATATATATTCATGAAATTCTGACTGAGTTCTTGACACTTTTAAGTAGTAAATATCATCATCTTCTTCACTGCAGATTTATGAAAATGAGAATAATTTAAATTATATATTTATCTTTTTCTTTTAGCTATTCTCATCAAAGACAATTCAAAAACTGAAACATTCTATTAATATTGTAGAAAACATTATACAAAGTATTAAAAATACTATTGATATAAAATCACCTATCTTGATATGTTATTTAAATAAAATATTCAAAGTATGTTTAATTAATATAAAACTTAATGAGCAATAAATCACTGAATTAAAAAACTTTTTCAATATCAGTAAATATCACAAAGCTAAAATAATTCATTATTAGATTCAAGTAGAGAGAGTTTTCACTATTAAAGATGTTAATAGAAAAATTAAATAGTGTAAAAATAATGAAGTTAAAAAAGAGCAGAATAAGAAGCAATAAAGACTTAAAGTTAATCTCATGAAAATTGACAATAACTCACTCATATCACTAATAAAAGAGAAATTAAATCAATTTAAAGATGACAAACATACTGAGAATGATGTAAATAATTTTTTTTATGATAGATTAGCTACTGATTGTTGATATAAAGTGCAATAATGAGGATGTGATTTAAGATTTTTATCATTTCAGTATTTTGATCATTTTGATATGACATATACACATGAGATGTGAGTTACATAGTGATATGATTATTTAATTTTATATTTATATTTTCACTTATTGCTATTTTCTCTATACTATAATATTTATAGTATTTATATTTTTACTTTTTTATAATATTAATTATAGTGCTTTTCATACTTTTTTTTAAACATTTGATTCAGTTATATTAAATGCTTTTATAATAATAATTAATTTAATAGAATTTTATTTATTTAATTAAAAATTAAAAATTATTTTTATATTTATATAAGTATAACTTAGTTGAAAAAATATTACTAATAATATAAATATAAAACAATAATTTTTAAAGAAAATAATTAAATTAAAAATTAAAAACCTATAAAGAGCAAAGATATATACTGCTTTAAATGACAGATTTCAGACAAATTAAACCTGCTGCACAATTCTGACCATTTTCATAAATGCGTTCTTATCACCAATATGATTCAACATCCAATAGCCGCTGAGCTCATTCCCGGTGTCGTTCACATCGCCATTGATAATGTCGATATCAGAAGAGTCAACTTCTATGCTGTTCCGTTCACTATCAATACTCTTTGAGCCCCATCCTAAAATTCTGGTCGCAGTTATTTCTCCCCCATCACCAGGCAAGATACTCAAAAGCGTCGTCTCCAAGCACCCGAGAATTGTAACAGCGGCACGAATTATAATTCTATCACCTTCAAAAACCCAGCAATCCCATACACGGCTAACGCGCTCGAGGTCAAGACCATTTGTCAAAAGGGATTGGAACATTGGTCCCCATATCTGTTCGTCGGAAAGGTACAAGTTCTCGTATAGATGGTTCGAGACTCGCGGATATTTCAAGCGCAATAATGTAGAGGCGAGGGAGTAAGCTCGAGAGGTAGCGCCGGGATCCGCGGTCAAAAACGCTAAGGGTAACGGTTTGTTCAGGGCATTTGCAAGTGCATGGAATGCTGCAGCAGGTGTAGGGAGGTTGAGGAGGAAGAGAGCAGCAATTGTCTGCACAGGTTGCTGTTAACTATAGCCCATTTCTCATCAACACAAGATTAGGGCCGGCATTCTTAAACTTACATGGACACCGTACAGGTAGCCAACGTCGTTTCTGTACATCGAATACGCATCCAGCACATTGATTAGGCTTTCCCGTAGTGGTCCATCATTTCTAAATAACCGGAGGTCTGGAAATACGCTTGATACATCCCTTCGGATGGCAGCAAAACATTCCTTCATCTTTTTGCCGGCATCACTTGCTTTGTCCCCCGTTCTGGTTTGGATATGATTTGCACGTTCAAGAGCTTTTAGGTATATATCTTCTGTCAAAGCAAGTTCGTTTCCCAGGGCCCGTTGCCAGACGGCACCTCGGGAACGGGTAGTTATTCCACGCCACCACAGTTCCCTTGTACGATGCTCGGACACGACACGATTCCAATCGGGGAAAACATAATCGTCCCAGATGCGTTGGAGCATTTTACAAGTATTGTCACTCTTACACTGGGCGGAGGCCGCCTCGGCGGCTTTGCGTTTGTCTAAAATATCGCATGCTGAGTCACGGATATCAGATCACAAATGGAACGACTAGGGCAGTGGACTTACCAGCTTCACGAGATAGCGTCATCATGCGCTTGTACTCCGACAAATGCTTTTTTTCTTCCTTTGGGTCTTTTGGCGGAAGCCAGCTTGGTCGAGTTCGTGATAAGACTCTCTCCTTTTCTTTGCTGATAGGGAATGGGTCGATCATGATATTCGACTTTTGCAGAGGCGGCAACTGGATCATACCGTGGGATTCGTGATTTCCCTGCTCCAAACTAGATCTGGTGGATAATTTCACGCTCTGAATGTTTTCTCCACGTCCCTGGATTGAAGCATCAGCATGGAATTCGAGCGCTTCTGTTAATATTTTCGCCTCCTCAGAGAGCTCAGACATGACCAGATTCCAAGAGTTGACACGCAGGGACGGAGGAGATGGCTGCGTCCGAGGGGGGCCAAGAGAACTGGCTCTTGGAACTTTGCACCTCACCGGTCTAGCAGACTTTGAAGGAGAAGCCTTTGGAGACGAAAGTAATACAGGCGCTGATGTTGAATGGCAAAGTGGAATCGGTCGCGGGCCGCGGCTTCTCCGGTCGGGACTAAAACCCCTACCTCCAGGGCGATTATGGGGAGGACGTGGGGAAATGGGAACGTTCCACAAAGTTGCATCTTCGGGGAGGTCTTCATCCGAATCATGGTATTCATCTTCCAACTCCTCGACAGTTTTTCGGTGTTGGTGTTGCGATGCAGAATTTATGACGAATCGAGAAGTGGTAAGCAGGGGTCTTGGCGGCATTGGTGTGCCTTTGGATGGATTGGATGGAGATAATGGTGTTGGTTGCACTCCCGGGGAGGGAGATTTCGAAAGTTGGGGGCTTGAAGGACGCAGCTGAAGTAACGGTGTGGGAGGATTAGATAGAACTCGGCTCGAAGCTCTCCTAGGCCGTGGAGGACTGAGCGATTGCATCACCTCCGAAGCCCCTTGAACCTTACCGCGGAGTTGAGGATACTCTCTCCTACCAGCCGAGGAAGTCAAGTTTCTAGTTGTGGCCACGGACGCTGTACGAGGCCCAACTCTAGGGAACACGCGTTGACTTGGCTGAATGGGAAACTTTTCTTGAGCGAAGTCGCGGTGATCATCAACGTAATCTTCATCCAAGCCTATATCCTCGAAATGGGAGACATCTGCAAGGATTCCATTCGGACTAGAATGCTGGGAAGTGTAGTGGAATGGGGAAGATTTGGAGGATTTGTAACCAGAGGGCTCCGGAGGAGAGTCGGGAACGACGTATATGGTCGCCATTTCAAAATATTATTAGGGTCACACACGCCGGACAACTGGCATGACAGAATATCAATGAAAGTATATATGTATATATTTATTCATTTCCTCCTCCTCCTCCTCCTCCTCCTCTTCTTCTTCTTCTTCTTCTTCTTTGTTTCCCTTTTTAATAGTATATTCCCCCCCCTCTTCTTTATATTCAAACGTCCGTCTCTGCAGACGATTAAGAATCGGGGTTACGATAATGAGAATAAGCAAAACAACCAAAAGCCCAATCAACTCCAATGATTGTCGCAGGATAGTTGACAACCAGAATAGAGGGAAGAAGCCTCGCAAGAAGGGTTGCACGGTACAGAGTGAGCGACGGCGACTATTATAATGAGGCAGTTAAGTGAATGTAGGTAAGAGTAAAAGAGATCATGATCACCAGCTTGACCAAGGCACAAAAATAATAATCATGCCACTGCGCAACCCCCACCTCATGTGGGTGCACCACATCAAAATGATAAAAACACTGAAATGATAAAAATCTTGAATCACATCCTCATTATTGCACTTTATATCAACAATCAGTAGCTAATCTATCATAAAAAAAATTATTTACATCATTCTCAGTATGTTTGCCATCTTTAAATTGATTTAATTTCTCTTTTATTAGTGATATGAGTGAGTTATTGTCAATTTTCATGAGATTAACTTTAAGTCTTTATTGCTTCTTATTCTGCTCTTTTTTAACTTCATTATTTTTACACTATTTAATTTTTCTATTAACATCTTTAATTTAAATACACTATTAAATATATTATTTATTTAAATTTTTTAAAAATATATATTATTTTAGCTCAAACTAAAATTAAAATAAATAACATAAAAATTTTAAATTATTTATTTAATTAAATAGATATAATAAGAATATTAAATTAAAAATTAAAATATAAAAATAAATAAATATCTAAATATAAATAAATAATTAAAAATCTGAATAAATTAATTTAAATAATTATTATAACTTAATTAAAAAAATAGCTATAATAAAAATACTAAATTGAAATTTAGAATCTGAAATAAATAAGTAGCTAAATATATATAGATAATTGAGTATTAAAATAAATTAATTATCAGAATAAAGTAAATTAATAAGAGTAATTAAATAATAAAAATTAAAGTAAATTAATTTTATATTATATTATTAATAACTATACTATAATAAAATATAATTGAGTTTATAATAAATTAATTTTAATTTATATATTTAATAACTATATTATATTATTATTTCTTTATATAAAAATAATATATATTATTATAACTTA